AGTCTGTGAAAGAGAGAGAGAGAATAACCTGAGGTTTCCGTGGGAAGAAGAAATTTTGACTCAAGACTGTTAACTTCCGCCTGGGTTTCTAGCCTCCTGGTCTGTCAAACTCATCAGCCTCTCTAATTGTGAGCTAATTTTTATATCTACTAGTATATTCTGTAGGCTGTTTCTCTGGACAACCTGACTCATATTGGAGAGCAAAGGGAGGGGTGGGAACTGGGTGGAGGGGAGCTATGGGGGAAAAAAGAGGAACAACTGTAATAATCTAAACAATAAAGATTTAATTTGGAAAAAAAAACTACTCTTTAAATTGAAATCTCTGTTTCTAAAAGGTCTTTTCCCACAGGCACTGAGATAAATTAAATTCTAACACTCTGAGCCACACTTTGTTTTCAGAGCCTTTGCCTCACTTAAATTAATACTTTAACTTAATTTTTATTGCTTATTTTTCTCACTCTCTGCATGTCCCCTGTAAATACGTTTTAGGGCAGAAATTTTTATCTGTCTTGTTATTACTCTAGTCTCACCACAAAACAGCATAGTAATGGACAACTGCAGCTTTTTCTTTTTTTAATATACAGTGGGGCCTTCACTTACAAGTGTTCGGACTAACGAGTTTTTCGAGATACGAGCCGTCTCTCAGCCGATTTTTAGTTTTGAGTTGCGAGTTAAAATTCGGGTTATGAGCCAGCTTCAGATGCCCCACCGCTAGTTGGGGTATCTTCAGATATCCCACTGCTAGTTGGCGCAGCGAACGTCACAGTGAATGGTACAACATCAGCCTGATTTGACATATGATAATTTCAGTTACGAGCTCTGTCACAGAACGAATTAAACTCGTAAGTCAAGGCCCCACTGTATTTTTATTTATTTCAGAAAGGGGGAGATAAAGAAATATCAACGATGAGAGAGAATCATCAATCTGCTCCCTTCTGGGGGAACTGAGCCCACAAGCGGGTATGTGCTCTAACCGGGAATCAAACAATGACCTCCTGGTTCATAGGTCAACACTCAACCTCTGAGGTTCACCAGCTGGCCAGCTTCCTCACTCCTTAATTCTTAATTCTTATTTGCCACTGTATTTTTATTTATTTCAGAAAGGAAGGAAGATAAATAGAAACATCAATGAGAATCATTTATCAGCTGCCTCCTGCACGCCCCCCACTGGGGACTGAGCCTGCAACCCAGGCATGTGTCCTGACCGGAAATCGAATGTGACCTCCTGGTTCATAGATCAACTCTCAATCACTGAGCCACACCAGCCAGGTGACAACCACACCCTTAGTGAAGACTTATTAGATAACTAATTACTGTTCGATGAAGGAATGAACAGGTGAATATCCAAAAAGGGCAGCATGATCTGGGGTGTCATTTTCTTCATTCTGAGTCTCTTTGTCCACGATGAGAGCTCTGCGTGGGGCCCATTGACCAGGTCCCTCCCCCTGTCCTCACCTCTTCTCAAGCTTTGTCCAGGTTTCGAGTGGGGTGCTAACAATCTGGTACTTGAGGGAGTACCCTCGGCAGGCAGCAGTCTTCTCCAATATGACCACTCCTGCCCCAGCATTCACGCTCCCAGCCGCCTGCTGCTTCATGACCTCGGTGTCACTGAAGTTGGCAGACACTTTCACAGCAGCGACTGGAAACAAACAAGGTACCTGAGGTCAGCCAAGAATTCCCTCTAGAACAGCTGGGAAATGCCATGGAAATGGCATGACTAAGCCCTAGCTCGCCCCAGCTCTCCCACTCAACTGAATCTCAACCGAGAAGCTAACTCATCAGCCAACATTTTGAGTGTAAATTACTCCTAAGGACGTTTGAATCCACCCAGGGGCTGGATAACAGGGATACTGTCCTAACCCTAAGGAATGATGAGGTCCCCTGGGTGGGGGTCTCAGCAAGTCTTGCCGGCTGCACCCCTTCTCCCTGCACCCTTGTTTTGCAGCCCCTACCTCCTATGCCCCTGGCTGACAATACCTGGGTCTGAAGAACCTGGTTCAAGGATGTGCATGAGGGAGGCGTCAAGTGGGACATCAGGTAGTTGCCAAAACCAAGAGCGAGCCTTCTTCCTCCGTATTAGAGAAAACCGGCGTATCTTGGTGGCACTTAGCAAGCATTTGACAGGTCTGAGCTCTTGGTCTCCGATCTCTTTGACCAATTTCTTGGTAGTTCTCTCAAACATGGAGGGCATGTTGCTAGGGGCAGAGAGAAGGGAAGCACAAAGACCAGGTGGGTCTTACAGATTAGATTAAAAGAGTTTTCCCATGTCATGTAGAGAGAGTTGGCAGTGGCTTGACTGTGTCATAGGCCTTTGTCGTATATTCACAGTGAAGTCGCATGCATGTGCAAGTGACCCCCTGTTACCTGGAACGGCCCCTGGGTCTTCCTTAAATAGCTGTCCATCAGGATGGTCTTTAGTGAACAGATGAGATACCGAGACCTGAGTCCCTGCTGGGTCAGGGGACCAATGAGCACTTGCTTAACTTGTTAGAAGTGCCAAAGAGGAGGTAAGTTCCCCTCCAAAACCAAATGTACGCACTTCCTTATGCCACACAGTTCCCATCAAGCTGGCCACACTGCACGATGGTTAGTCCCCATGGAGGAGTGATTGTTAGTGTGTGTGAACTACCCGTGTTCAGTGCTGCAAAGCCCTTGCTTTCTAAGATCTTACTGAGTCTTGCTGTGACTGAAACAGAACAAGAGTGTGGCTGTCACAAAGGTGGGCATGAGATGGTTAAATAAAAGCCCGGACACCTGTACTGCTGTGCTAAGTGGACCCTGACTCACCAAAAAATTATGAAGTGCCTCATTGCTAAGTGTCAGGGGCTTTGGATGGGTAATTGTCAAATTGTTATCATCAACCTGTAGTCTCAACCTGTAGTCGTCAACCTGGATGACACTCTCATTGTGCTTTTAAACACTTTCTATTTCAAAGAATGATGCCAGTAAGGTGGCATAACAGGACCTTTCAGCCCTCATCCCTGCACAGAAACACCAGTTCTGACCACCATCTGTGGACCAGAGTTCCAGAGTGTGCTAGAGTGGAAATGTTTAAACTAAGCCCCTGTGAGGAAGTTTTGAGAACTCTAATCACAAGGCTTATAGGGGACTTTCCAAGATTTGGGGTTTTTTTGCCCAGCTAACTGCAAAATTAGCTTATATAATTAACTCGCTTGCTTTGCATGGTTGTCTATCAGGATGTGGTTTCAGCCTTTAAAACCCCAGCTCTACATCTGGTCAGGCTGCTCTCTGGACTCCCTGCGAGGAGAAAGCAGTCACTGGCCAGTACTAAAGGCTCTTAAATTCTAATTGGAGTGGACTCTTGTGGTCATTCGGTCGCTCGCACTCCACAACATTTGGAGGCCCCAGTGAGATAGACCGGCCATTTACCGGTCCCGAAACCAGAGTCCAGGAAAGACACCCAGACTCTCGGACCTAGGGGGAGATCTCTGAGAGACATTCCTCAGCCCCGGTACCGATACAGTTTGGCAGGTCTGTCCAAAAATTGTCTAATTGACTTCAACTGGAGCCATCGGGATATGATTCTTACCGGTAAGAAGACTCAATTCTTTTGAGTCCTGATTCTGGTTCTTTGGGCCTGTCTGGGGTCTCCAGAAGGCTGTACGCAGCATTACTTCCATTGAGACCAGATCCCGAAGCACGACGGTGCCCGGAGATCCTGGGTCTGGTTGTCATTTGTTTTGTCTGTCTTGGTCTCTGTGTTCAATTTGTCTTTATCGTTAAAATGGGACAGTCTGCTTCTGGCACTGTTTGCACGCCTCTGCCATGTTTTTTGAAAAATTTTCAGGACTTCGAACAGAGAGCAGACAACTATGGAACCCCTGTTAACACTTTTGATTTATGAAAGCTCTGTGAGCGGGAATGGCCCACCTTCCCGCAGACTGAGTGGCTCCCAGAGGGGTCAATGGACCTTGGATGGACCTTGGATTGGCATATCAGGTCCAGGCTGTAATTTTTGGAAATCCCGGACATCCTTACCAAATTCCCTATATCCAAATTTGGATAGACATTTTGACAGATACCCTAAAATGACTCCGAGATTGCCAAAAGAAAAAGAAATCGGGCCAGAGACGGACTGTTCTCCTTAGTAAGCCTCCCAGAGGGACTGAGAAACAGCCTCCCGTTCTACCACCACCCCCACCGCCCCCAGGATCCCCTTGTGGCGGATCCTCCCCCGGACCCGCCCCCCCCTCCCCAGTTGCAGATCCCCCTGTTACTGTTTGTACTCCATTGCCATGTTTCTTAAAACAAAATTCAGGATTTCAAGCAAAGAGCTGAGAGCTACGGAGCCCCCATGAGTACCTTTGATCTACAAAAATTCTGTGAGAGTGGCCAACACTCCCGGGCATAGGATGGCCCCCGGAGGGGTCAACAGACCTTGGCCTAGCCTATTGGGTACAGAGAGTCATTTTTCGGGGACCCCGGCCATCCTGACCAGATACCATAGATCCAGATTTGGGTAGACATTTTAACAGACAATCCCAAGTGGTTGAAGGACTGCCTGCAGCCTCCCTCGGGGAAGAAAACCAAGAGCGGGAAGTCCATCCTTCTGACCGGATCTCCCCCAGAGAGAGAGGAGAAGACCCCCGTTTTGCCTCCACCCGTGGAGGATCCCCTCAGTCCTGACCCCCCACTGTACCCTTCCACACCTCTGCCTTCCAGGCCAGAACCCCAACCCCTGTCGGACCACAGCCTGGCCGCCCCATCCCCAGATCAGGGCCCCCCGGTGAGCCCGCCACATGCAAGGAGTGGCTTCACTTAGCGACCTCCCCCTGCAGGAAATGCTCCAGATTCGTCTAGAATCCCGATGCTGCCTCTGAGGCAGGTCGCATCACCCCTAGAGGAAGAGACCCTTCATGGTCTATGTCCCATTCTCCACCAGTGACCTGTATAACTGGAAGAACCAGAACCCCTCATTCTCTGAGAGACCTCAAGGACTAATCTCTCTCTTGAAGACTGTTTTCTTTACCCACCAGCCAACCTGGAATGACTGTCAACAACTGCTCCAGACCCTTTTCACCTCAGAAGAATGGGAGCGGGTGTGCGAAGAAGGGAGGAAATTAGTCTTGGGCCCAGACAGCAGCCCACCTCAGACCCTGGGCAAATGGAGGTGGTTTTCCCTTATCCCGCCCCTCGTGGGACCCCAACTCAGATAGAGGTAAAGAGGCTGTCAATCGGTATCGCCAGACTCTGTCGCAAGGGATCCGCACGTGGCACGGAATCCCACCAATCTGTCCAAGGTAACTGAGACCGTTCAGGGACCTACCGAGTCCCCCACCACATTTTTGGAGCACCTCTATGAAGCCTACCGGCTTTACGCTCCCATAGATCCCAAGGTGCCCGAGAACAGGCGCACAGTCAATATAGCATTTATGTCACAGTCGGCCCCAGATATTTTTGAAAAATTACAAAAATTAAAAGGCTTTAAAAAAAATTATCAGAGTTAGAAAAAGTAGTCCAGAAGGTTTTTAACAACAGGGACAGTATAGAAACTGCACAAACAAAAGAACTAAATAAAATAAACTAAAAGCAAAACAAAAGCTTTCCAAGAGTTAAAGCAGGCGCTAGTTAGTGCTCCAGCTCTGGCGTGGCCCAATCTCACCAAGCCTTTCCAGCTACATGTGGCTGAAGCCCGGGGAATTGCCAAAGAAGTCCTGACTCAACTCCTCGGTCCTTGGAAGAGGCCAGTAGCCTACCTCTCAAAGAAACTAGACTATATGGCTGCGGGTTGGCCGAGCTACCTGAGGGTGATAGCAGCCACGGCAGTATTAGTGAAGGAGGCTTCTAAGCTCACCTTAGAACAAGAGCTACAGGTAATAGCACCCCACGCTATAAAAATCCTACTGCAGAGTCCACCGGAGCACTGGCTGTCCAACACCCACATCACTCAGTACCAGATACTTTTGCTTGGCTCCCCCTCCCCTGAGGGTCAGTTACCTGAAAACAGCTGCTCTGAATCCAGCCACCCTCCTCCCTGACAATGACCCTACACAGCATGAGTGTTCCAAGGTTTTGTCATCACTGAAAAACCTCCAAGAAGATCTGACTGACCTGCCACTGCCCAACCCCGATTTGGAAGTTATTTCCCGGAGTCCACTAGTCACTAGTGTTAATAAATGGTTCCTTCATTTCTCTAGGAAGCATGCTTGGTATTTCTTTGCTCTTCTGTAACAAGCTAACTGCAAAATTAGCTTATGTAACTCGCTTGCTTGCTCTGCATAGTTGTCTATCAGGATGTGGTTTCAGCCTTTAAAACCCCAGCTCTGCATCTGGTCAGGCTGCTCTCTGGACTCCCTGCGAGGAGAAAGCAGTCACTGGCCAGTACTAAAGGCTCTTAAATTCTAATTGGAGTGGACTCTTGTGGTCATTCGGTCGCTCGCACTCCACAACATTTGGAGGCCCCAGTGAGATAGACCGGCCATTTACCGGTCCCGAAACCAGAGTCCAGGAAAGACACCCAGACTCTCGGACCTAGGGGGAGATCTCTGAGAGACATTCCTCAGCCCCGGTACCGATACAGTTTGGCAGGTCTGTCCAAAAATTGTCTAATTGACTTCAACTGGAGCCATCGGGATATGATTCTTACCGGTAAGAAGACTCAATTCTTTTGAGTCCTGATTCTGGTTCTTTGGGCCTGTCTGGGGTCTCCAGAAGGCTGTACGCAGCATTACTTCCATTGAGACCAGATCCCGAAGCACGACGGTGCCCGGAGATCCTGGGTCTGGTTGTCATTTGTTTTGTCTGTCTTGGTCTCTGTGTTCAATTTGTCTTTATCGTTA